TTTTTTGAGACAGAGTCTTGCTCTGTCACCCAGGCTGGAGTGCAGAGGCATGATCTCGACTCACTGCAACCTCTACCTCCTAGGTTCAAGCGATTTTTCTGCCTCAGCCTCCTGAGTAGCTGGGATTACAGGCATCCATCACCACGCCTGGCTAATTTTTGTATTATTAGTAGAGATGGGGTTTCACCATGTTGGCTGGGCTGGTCTTACACTCCTGACCTCAAATGATCCACTTGCCTTTGCCTCCCAAAGTGCTGGAATTACCTCCTGGCTATACATTTTTGTTCATCATAAATTAATCATTCTGTGGTATTCTGTTATAGCAACATAAAATGGACTAAGACAGAAAATTGGTCCTGAGAAGTGAGGCTGTCACTATTACAAATACCTGAAAATGTGGAAATGGCTTTGAAGCTGGGTAATGGGTAGAGCAGAAGAATTTAAGGGAGCAGGCTAGGAAAGTCTTAGATTGCCATAAACATTATATTAAGGGTAGCTCTGGTGAGGGCTGAGAAGAAGAGGAGAGCTATAGAGAAAATCTGAAAGTTAGAGATTATTAAGTGTTCATGATCAGTGTGTTGTTAGACATACGGGCTTCACTGTCTCTTAATAATCTGCAAATTAATTAAGTATACTTAATAATCTCTAAGTTCATTAAGTATATGAGATCCCAGACGGGAAAGAGGAATAAATCTTACTGGAAACTACAGTAAGGCTACCTTTCTTATAAAGTGGCAAAAATCTTGGATGGATTATGTCTCTTTATGCTTAAGGGCTTTATGGAAGACAGAATTTAAGAGTGATGGACTAGAAATCTGGTGGAAGAAATTTCTATGCAAAATATTGAAGGAGCTGTGTGGCTACTTTTAACTGCATGTAGTAAGACATGAAAGGAAATAAATGACTTAAAGATGGAATTTATAGCCTGGGCGCTATGGCTCACACCTGTAATCCCAGCACTTTGGGAGGCCGAGGTGGGTGGATTACAAGGTCAGGAGTTCAAGACCAGCCTGGCCAACATAGTGAAACCCTGTCTCTACTAAAAATACAAAAAATTAGCTGGGCGTGGTGGTGTGCGCCTGTAGTCCCACATACTTGGGAGGCTGAGGCAGGAGAATTGCTTGAACCTGGGAGGCAGAGGTTGCAGTGACCGAGACTGCACCACTGTACTTCATCCAGGACAACAGTGTGAGACTCCATCTCAAAAAAAAAAAAAAAAAAAGATAGAATTTATAATTAAACAGAAGCATAATAGAAAGTTGGAAAATTTTCAGCCTGGCCATGTAGAGAATGAGAAAATAGTTTGGAAGACCAGGCCAAGGATCTGGTCAAGTGACTATCTGCTAAAGTGATCAGTACAGGTAGAAAAGATCATCAAGACATTGGGAGAGTAACACTAAAGGCATTTCAGAGATCTCAGAGGCTGCCCCTCTCTTCACAGGTTCAGAGCTCTGGGAGTGCAGAATGCTTTTGGGGGATGGGACTAGGGTGCCCTTCATGGGCTTGCTGCCCAGAGCCACCTCCAGTCTCTGCTCCTTGAATTCTGGTGCAGTATTCCGTGGTTGCTTCAGCCATTCATGTGGTTTCAGGTGTGGCTTGACCTGCTACTCCAGAAGATTCAAGCCATAAACCTTGGTGGCATATGTGGTGCTAATTCTGTAGATACACAGTGTGCAAGAGCCATGGGGTCATGGTGTCCTCCACCTATATTTCAAAAGGTGTCATGGACTTTCTGGGGCTTAGGCAGAGTCTTGTCACAGGTGTGGAGCCACCACAGAAAGCCCTGACTAGGGCAATGCTGAGCAGAAACACAGGATCAGAAGCATCACAGAGAGTCCCCACTAGGGCAATGTCTAGTGGATCCTTGGGAGTGGGGTCACCCCTGAAACCCTAGAATTGATGCCACTAGCTTGCAGCACCAGCCTGGGAGAGTTGCAGGCAGGAGTCTCCAATCCCTTGAGAGCTGCTGGGTGGACTGAGCCCCAAATTCATAGGACTCTGTCATAGGTGTGGGGCTGCCTAAGGCCTTGAGTGTCCAACGCCTGCTCCAGTGTCCCCAAAAGGTGGAATATGGAGTCAAAATAGATTATTCTGGATTAGTAAGACCTAATGTTGATTTCTCTGTTGGATTTTTGACTTATTTGGGACCACTTATGACTTTGTTCTGGCCTATTTCTCCCTTTTGCAATGGGAATATCTACTTTATCCCTGCCCGACTATTGTGTTTTGGAAACCCATAGCTTGTTAATTTCACAGCCCCACAGCTGGAGAGGAATTTGCTTTAAGTATCACCCATATCTGATTTACATGTCTCTGGACTTTGGAGTTAATGCTGGAATGAGCTAAGGCTTTTGAGACTATCAGAATGGATGAATATATTTTGCATCATCAGGACATGATTTTATGGGGGCAGGAGCAGAATGCTATTGTTTGAATGTGTACTTCAAAGTTCATGTGTCAGAAACAATCCCCAGTGAAACAGTGTTGGGAGGTGAGACCTAATAAGAGGTGATTAAGTCTTGAGGGATCTGCCCTCACAAATGAATTAATATCATTATAATGAGAGTGGGTCATTTAAAAAGTGAGTTTGGCCCTCTCTTGCTCGTGCGCTGTCTTGCCCTTCTGCCTTCCTTCCATCATGGGATGATGCAGCACGAAGGCCCTCACCAGATGCCAGTGCCATGCTCTTGGACATCTCAGTCTTTAGAACTATAAGCCAAATAAATTTCTGTTCATTATAAATCATGCATTCTGTTGCATTGTCTTACAGCAACATAAAATGGACTGTGAAAGGTTAAGCTAGATAATTAAAAAAACTTAGAATGAGAGGATATTCTAGCTGGAATAGACCTTAAAAAAGATTTAGATAAGTGGTTTCCAAACATGATTGTGAATCAGAATCACGAAGAGTTTTTTAAAAATGAGACTTTTTTGAGCCCTACTCCTATCCCTTCTGTATCTGAATCTCTCTAAGCTTGGCTGTATGTATAAAAAGGTCCTTGGGAGATTCAGTGAAGTAAGCTTGATCCTTATTATCAGATCAGCATTTGGAAACTGTTGACATAGTTTAAATTCTTCACTTTACAGATGAAGAAATGAAGATCTAGTTCACATGCCTAGTTAACAGCAAATTGATGTCCAGAATGCAGTTCTCTTGATCATTAGTCTATCATTATCATTTTTTACATTGATTCTGCTGTATCATTTTTTTAGGTAACTAACAAGCATTTATTTAGTTTTGTTTTGTTTTGTTTTGTTTTTGAGATGGAGTCTCACTCTGTCACTCAGGCTAGAGTGCAGTAGCTCGATAGCTCACTGCAGTCTCCATCTCCCAGGTTCAAGCAATTCTTCTGCCTCAGCCTCCTGAGCAGCTGAGAGTACAGGCACATGCCACCATGCCTGGCTAATTTTTGTATTTTTAGTAGAGATGGGGTTTCACCATATTGGCCAGGCTGGTCTCAAACTCCTGACCTTGTGATCCACCTGCCTTGGCCTCCTAAAGTGCCGGAATTGCAAGTGTGAGCCACCGCACCTGGCCATTTATTTAGTATTCTTTGGAATAGGTGATATTTCCTTTGGAGGAGGCCATATAATAGTTGGGAGTACAGCTCTGCTGCTAGAATGTCTGAGTTCGTATCTGGTTCTGTCACTTTCTGTTTTTTGTAATTTGGGACAAACTCTTTACCACAGTTTTCTCATTTGTAAAATGGGAATAGTAATTACAGAATTTGACACTTAATATAAAAAGGTCCTTTTTTATAATCTAGACTGCCCAAAATTTGTCAGTTAAGATAGGCTTAGTGAATTAGCCTATTAAAAAATAAATAAAGTGCAACCTCATACGAGATAGATGGTTACTGCTTTCTTCCATTAAAGGAATCCAGAAGTAGGCAATGTAGGGTTGAGGATGGCTTCATGATTATTTTTAAAAAACCCAAGTTTCACCTCTCTTGCTGCTTTGGCATTCCACTTTATGATCCAAGATGGCTGCTTGCACCCCAGCAATCATGTTGTAGTCTAGCCAGCAGGGAAGAGGAAGTGGGAGAAGAAAGATGGTCTTTTCTTCCATGACTCCTTCCAAAAGTTGCAAACAAAATTTGTGCCTGATTTCATAGGTTAGACAACTCAGTCATATTGCAGAGGTGTCTGGAAGTGTCTCTGGGTGGTCATGATCTAGATAAGAATTGAGGGATTTATTACATAGAAAGAAAGGGAGAATGGAATTGGCATCTGTTCTACCAAAATAACAATATGAATTTTCATGGCTCTTTTTGAATTCATTAGGTTATACAGATTCAAAGGAATCAGAATCTGAGTTAACCTTAGGGAGATTTCACGTTGATGGCTCTATCAGTCCATTTGGTACAAGAATGTACCTAGGAGCAGTTTGTTCAGTAAAACATGGTCATTTCTTCATTCATAACTCATTAAACATTTTTGCACAGGAGCAGCAACTTTTCAGTAGGCCTGGTTTATTAATTATCTTTCCTAATTGAGTTCTTTTTTTTAGCTTCTAAAGGAGGTAAAAAGATAAAAATGAAGGATAGTTTGTCTTTGATCACCTAGTATTATGAAGACTTATGGTAGACATTTAGCAAATGGTACCTGATTTATTATTATTACTGTAAGTATTTGATTAGATCATCCTCCAAGTCCCTTAGAGTTTAAAAATTGCTGTTAGATTACAGCCTTCAATTATTTCGGTAGTGATTGGTAACTTTCACGGTTTTTGCTTTGTTTTAAATAAGAACCTCTGTTATTGTTTTAAAATTCTAGTTCTCAATTTTGAACCATATGGACTCTCCTTTTCTTCATCTGGCTTCACTGGACGACAGTCTCCTGCTGGCATTTCTCTTGGTTCAGATGTATCTGGGAATAGTGCTGAGACGGGACTGAAAGAGTAAGTTCCTTTCTTATTAAAATTGAGGTTATGGGAGTGTTTAAATGTCTTTTAGCATTCCATTTGCCTTCGTTCCTGGCCTGTATCATCATGATCATTATTTGCTTATTTTAGGGTGACTTTCAAGAAGTATGTTGTTTCAGTGGTTTTCACATAATTCTCAGTGGGAGAGGCACACTTGTGACTTTCTAAGAAAGCCATTATATTAAATGGCTAAATTCTGTATGGGCTGTTGTTTCAGTGGTTTCTACTTACTGCTCTTCAAGTATTTATATTATATAGTATGCTCTTATACTTTAAGAACTTACCTACCTTCTAAGACAGCATAAAATGTATACAAGCTTTATACATAGTAATAATGTTAGAATTTATACATTCAGGTTAGTATTTAACATATTGTTCTACATTCCCCTTTCTTCTGATAACTATATCTTGTAACTGTCTCATTGAAACATTGACAGATATAGAGGTGAACATAAAATAAGGTGATTGATTTCATGTGAGGAAGCCATGTAGTCAGTCACCCAAAGAAGGCGTAATACAGATGCCCTTCAGCTTACGATAGGGTTACATTCTGATAAACCCATTATAAGTTGAAAATATCATAAATCAGAAGTGATCTACTAAATACCAGATCTATGTCTAGAACTCAGTTCTGCTGATTATTAGCCCATTACTATTTATTATTTTATTTTATTGTTACCATTTTTTGAGACACAGCTTTACTCTTGTTGCCTAGGCTAGAGTGCAATGGCATGAACTTGGCTCACTGCAACCTCTGTCTTCTGGGTTCAAGAGATTCTCCTGCCTTAGTCTCCTGAATAGCTGGGATTACAGGTGCCTGCCACCACACCCGGCTAATTTTTTGTATTTTTAGTAGAGATGGGGTTTCACCATGTTGGCCAGGCTGGTCTCAAAACTGCTGGCCTCAAGTAATCCACTCACCTCAGCTTCCCAAAGTGCTCGGATTACAAGTGTGAGCCACCGTGCCCGACCTATTTATCATCTTATTAGCTCATTATTATCTCAGCATTGCAAGAGAATATTCTATCACATATTGCTAGCCTGGAAAAAGATAAAACTTCAAAATTTGAAGTATGGTTTCTCTAAACTCTATTGCTTTCACACCATTGTAAAGCCAAAAAAATCATTAAGTTGAATTATTGTAGGTCAGGCACCATCTGTACTCATGTGAGGAAGCTGTATACTTTGCCCAAAATGCTTTCAGAGTTTCTTTCCAGCTACCTTGAAAATTGGTGATGTGTTTGTTTAAATGTCTTATTTGGAGCCAGATTTCATCCTTGTAAGGTATATTTTGATTTCGGAAACATAATTAAGTTACCTTTAGAAACATAATTAAGTGAATACATTGAGTTGATATGTATACAGTACATAGTACAGCCCAGTTTATAGTAAGTGATTGATAAATGGTAGTTGCTGTTATTAATAATGATTGTCATTACTGTCATTATCTTCATTATCCAAGAGGTGAGTTTACCAAATAAAATTTGTGATCATTCTGAGTAATTTTGGTCAGTATTCTGATTCGACAGTAAAGTAATGAAAATGGTTTTCTTGTTCGTGAAGAAGCTGCATCTAATAGAGTTAAAAATGTTTTAAGTAATGGCAGCATTGTTGGAATAAATGTGATAAAATCTCAAAAGTGACAACTAAGAAGGATGACATTTGAATTTTGAGTTCTTCTGTATTAATAAGTCAGTCATCTTATTTTATGTTCATCCTTACATTTGTCAATGGTTTTGTTACAAATATTTATTAGAAGAAATATACTAATAATAGATCATGAGGAATGTAGAATATGTTTTTATCTGCTCTGTTAACCTCCTTATTTTCTTTCCCAGATATTTAATTTTGGTACTCTAAGCATGGGGAGCAGATATTGTTTGTGTGCATTTGATGATGAAGGTGACAGCAATTAAGTGTCACAAACAGGGACCAAGGGACAAGGGAAAGACAGGAACCCTTCAAACCCAGGGAGAAACTTACACACTTTTACCTGTGTAACAGGTGACAGCATCTGCTACTATAGTACTTAACTAGGATCTAGGGAATGTGACAGGGCCTTGTAAATGCTATACATATACATATATTACCCTCAGAGAAATGCCATTTTGGAAAACTGCTAAGGAATTATATAATATATACTGTATTATTGTGAAATGGAAGATGAGGGATGAATTTAAAATTTGCTTCCAAAGGGGAACTTAGCTCACACATTATTTCAGAAGAGGAACCTAGTAATTGGCAAGGTGAATCATCTTAGAGGGAAGACAGTTGCTCTCTTACAGTCCCTGGCAACCTGAGAATAAAGTAGTAACCTAATTTATAATTTCTTACCTGGCAGCACCCCATCTCAAATGGGAATTACTAGAGCTGAGTTAAAGTGCACCCCTAATCTTTCAAGGGTTAGTTACTTGGTCAGGATTTATGTCTATGTTTGAATGGTCTGAATTAAAATAATACAAGGACACACCATAGAAAACCATGTATTATATAATAGTATTATCAAAATCTTGGCAAAGATGACTCATGTTTAAAAATATTCTTTTTATAATGTTTCATGTCATTAAGAAGCATATTTTGTATATAAAATGAATGGCCTTATGTTGCTTGCTTATGTATTTTACCACTTTTTATTTTTATTATTTATTTATTATTATTTGAGAAAAGTCTCTTCTGTCACCCAGACTAGAGTGCAGTGGTGTGATCTTGGCTGACTGCATCCTCCACCTCCTGGGTTCTGGTGATTCTCATGCCTTAGCCTCCCAAGCAGCTAGGATTACAGATGTCCGACACCACGCCCAGCTGATTTTAATGTTTTTATTAGAGGTGGGGTTTCACCAATTTGGCCTGGCCGGTTTTGAACTCTGGGGCTCAAGTGATCCACCTGCCTTGGCCTCCCATAGTGCTGGGATTGTAGGCTTGCGCTACTGCACCTGGCCATATTTTACTACTTTTTAGATGGTCTATATGTATGTGTGACAGAATGTTTGTGTTGTTCACAAGCATGTATGCAGATGAAATAAATAAGACAAATCTTTAAAATAGCTTAAGACTCCTTTTAGGCTCCTTTTGAGCCTCCTTTTTGCCAGTTGTGTATTGAGTTCCCTGGGAAGCACATTCTGTGATGGCATTTAGTATGCAGAATAATTAGGAGTGTCATTGGGATCAACATCTTTAGAAGGAAGGGAAAAGAAGGAAGTTTGGGCAGAAGTTAAGATGCAATGCATTACCAGTGACAACCTCTGCTGACCCCATGGGGAGCTCTGGAGCTGAAATGACCCTTCAGAGTTGTCCTGAGTTGGACCAAGATGGATGGCGAGAACTTTATACTATCATTCGTTCATCACTGGATATAGGCTGCCTTGGAAGGGGTGTGATCTTGGGTGAAGTAGCCCTCTGCAGCTCAAGCAATCCCTGAAGGGGTTGAGAGCTGACAGCACTCCCAACAGATGATCAACAGTCCTTCACTGAAGAGGGGTCTGGATGGAGCAGCCCACTGTCCTCCATACCTGCCTCCACACCTGTTGTTGTTAAACTGATATTTAAATCATTTATTAGTAAAATTTAGGGACTTATTCTTTCCCTCTCTCTCTTTTTTTTTTTGTAAATGTAATATTTTGGTTAAAGGGAGTACGAAGATACTATAATACTACTGTGGGTATTCATGAATTTCCTAGAGGTGCTTCTTTTGAGAATTCTATTCTAGAAATGGTAGGGATTATTTTAGTGGTTCCCATGACCACTTTGGATCTGCTTATGGCAAGTACAACCAGTTTTTGTCTAAGAGGTTTATCGTATACCTTTTTTTTTTCTGTCTAAGAGGTTTATTGTATACCTTTTTTCTTTTTTTCATTAGAAAACTCTTTTGGTACCTGGAGGAAGAAAGAGGGAAATGAAGATATTTGTAAAGGGGTACTCAGCAGTAAAAATCATTGAGAAGGAGTGAACCAAACATTTTTAATTAACATTCAGATTTTCCTTTAGCTACTTACTTCTTAATAGCATTACTTCTTCACTCAATATGAAGTATAGTTACCTGTTTTTGTTTTGTTTTGGGCTCAAAATCAAATTGGTCATGATTCCAATAATTTCAATACTAATAATAATTAGTAGAAATATTTCTGAGTCTTCCTTTTTGTTCATTTCATAATCTATTCATCTTGTGGTAGAAATTATTATTTTTTTAATGCTAATTTGGACCATGACAGGAATACTTAAATGAGTCAAGTGCCAAGGACACATAGTTGTGTTTTCTTTTTTAAACTCCAGTGTTATTGAGATATAATTGCCAAATAAAAATTGTATAGTTGATCGTTAAACAATATGTGTTTAAACTGTGTGGGTTCACATAATACACAGATTTCTTCAATAAAAATATTGTGAAAAGTTTTTCAGATTTGAGACAATTTGAAAAAATTTCCAGCAAACCATGTAGTCCAGGAATATCAAAAAATTAAGAAACAATAAGATTGCCAGGGATACATAAAATATATATAGATATTAGTCTGTTTATGTATTAACCAACTGTTTGTGCTATTAGTAAGGCTTTCAGTCAACAGTAGGCCATTAGTAGTTAGGTTTTGGAGGAGTCAAAAGTTACATGTGGATTTTTGACTGCACAAGGAGTCAGTGTCCCAACCCTCTCCATTGTGCAGTGATCAATGGTATGTATTTTAGGTGTGCTGTGTGATGTTTTGATATACATATACATTGTAAAATGATTACCACAATCAAACCAGTCAATGGACACATAGCTATCTTATGAGAATAGTAGAGATAATCCTTGGCCGTTTTCGCCCGCACTTGTTAGTCTCTCCAGATTCATGGCTGCAACTTTTGGGACAACATTAGGATTCTAAATTTGACCCTGGACAAAGTGCCTTTTCTAGGCACTTGGGTAGGACACTTGGCTCCTAAACACTATAATTCTTTTCCAACTCAGGTATAAAAATTCATCAGCCTCATGCTTTTTCCTAAAATCTTACTTTTTTCTTTTATAGGTAAAACCTCATTGCATTTTGGTAAAAGCATACCTAATAATAGTTGAAAATGTTGCTTGTGTGCATAGTGAGAAAAACTTTTTGGATTAAAGTAAATTTATGGGGAGCATGTATTTAGGGCAACTTGAATTTATGTCTCCTGGGTTGTAAAGTTAAAATAAATAAATAAAATGTAAATTTATACATAGGAGGACATCTGAATGATGTTTTTGCTTTTAACAGGATTTTACTTAATTTATATAGGTTTAATTCCTTCATATTGCTAAGAAATTTGAATCATTTCTCATCTTTAACCATCAGAATTAAAGGTATTTTTTGAAGAGTCAGTGGAGAAAAGGAACTGATTTAAAGTAGTTCTATTTTTGTATAATGTAAGCAATTAAGTGAAAAATAAATGCTCTGACATTTTTAACTAAGTCTAGAGTTCTGCAGCCTTGAGTCAAATCCTTTGACTTGAGGATGGAAGGATGTTGACTATGACTAAAATAAAAATCTAGAGATCTAGGTTTTACTTCTGGTATATAGAATATAATGTGACAGTTATTTTCAGAAGGTCATGGGCATTGATGTGTTTTGAAAGAATGCCTCAAGAAAGTGACTATTAGCAGTTATTTAAATTGACTTGATTTTATTATCAACTTCCTTAGGACAAATGGTTTGAAGCTGGAAGGTATAAAGAAATTGTGGGGGAGAGAAGGTTATCTTCCCAAGAAGGAAAGCAAAACTGGTGATGAAAGTGGAGCTCCACCTATTCCTCAAGAGAGTATAATGGAGAATGTAGATCAAGCTATAACAAAAAAGGATCAATCTCAAGCTCTTACCCAATCAAAAGAGGAGAAAGAAAAGCAGCTGCTGGCCTCATCATTATTTGTTGGGCTAGGATCAGAAAGTACAGTCAACCTGGTAAGTAATCGGTTCTATTCCTCTAAGAATCTTTGTCATCTCTTTGTACCAAAAAACTGGCCCTATGAAAGCTTCTGGCTGTCATCTATATATATGGTGAGAAGTGGCTTCCCCAGTTCTTACTCTCCATCATTTCCCAGCCTCAGAACCACCAATGACACACCTTTTATATTCCTGAAAGAGAAAATGCAGTTGGCTCAACTTCAGTTAGGTGTTCTTTGTAGCCCAGTCAGTGGACAAGGGTCAGGCTTTAAATAAAGTTACAGGTATGACCATGGCCACTCTCATCCCTGTGGGTAGATGGCGCAGTTCTCAAAGAGAAGGGGGATGAATAATAATAATAATAATAGTTCAACTGTATTGAACTGTGTCTTTGTGAAAAGTATTCCTCAAAATTGTATTTTTTTTGTAGTGAAAAATAGTAATCAATTTAGATACCTAACTGTAGGAGAATGGTGACATAAATTGTATTCTCCCAGAACATTTTCTAGCTCTAAGAAAGATCAATAATATTGCTTTATGAAAAGAAAAAATACTTAAATGATATATTAAACAAAAAGTACAAAGTTTTATTTATACCTTGTTTATACCTAAGGCTGAAAGGAGTTATACAAAAATAATTATATTAAGATTATAATGATTTTTAAATGTTTTATACTGAGAAATTATTTTCATAGTAAAAGAATGACAAGTTGGAGTGAAGGACAGGTGGTGTTTTTGAGCATTTGAGAATACCATGTAATGAATGTATCCTCCTTTTGGTGGCTAATGAACCTATCTTGTACAAAATTTTGATTAGAGTGACACCCCAGCTCTTTCATTCTCCTCCTCCCGTGGTGAAATTTCCCATTCGTTCCTGTCAGTACCAGGCAGGATGGTGTACCATACTTTATACTGTTTATTTTTGTCTCTCTCTTTTCTAGACTCACCAGTCTAGATCCTATTTCTGTTATACCTGATATTCTCTCTTAAGAAAAAACAAATTCAGCCTAAAAATATTAATAATTAATGTATCTTACTGTTTTCTGAGTTGACATTTGCAGATCATTAGCAAAGTGACTGATCTTGGGTTTTTGAGTGTTCTGACAGGCTGTGATGAGAGAGTACCAACAAATGCTCTGATAAGAGCACACCAAAGTCAGATTACAGCCAGGCTTATGGAACCCTGATTGGTGAACTTCATTGCTGGTATAGAAGTATTCCTGCCTATTTAACAAGTGCATAGGTTTCAGTTAGATTTTTTTTTCAGGGGAACATTCAGGGTGATAATCAGATTTTTTGTGGTGAGTTTGAAATCAGAAATATTATTAAGATGTTTTTTCTATTAATGATTCTAAATTCATTTTGGCTTACCCCTTATATTTCCCCCTAATTCCCACCCAGCTATCACTGAAGAGTAGAAAAATGAGACCCTGAATTCCATGAGAAATTGTGTTGTAACTTAGATGGCATCTTAAAGAAAGAGGAGCAGTTCATGATGACATAAAATTAGCATGTATCCTCTCGCTTCTCAGCCCTGATGCTTCATCTGTACTGTTTTTTCTTATGTTTAGAGTTCTCAGTTACATACATCAAGGCTCTATTGATGTATTTCATTTTAACTAGCTTTTATTTTTAGGTCTGTGATCCATTTGGGGTTAATTTTTCACATCACTGTAGAGGCCAAGGTTGTTTTTTTTTTGTTTTTTTT